ACTCAGGCTGAAGGATTAGTTTAAGATTAATATTATCCAAAGGAGGCAATAGAGTTTACTGATTCTTCCATTAATAGGGAAATATGCCTACCAGCATTCCACCAAGTACTGCCCATGTAGCTTCAGCTGTTGTATATACCTCACTTTTTATCTTTCGACCTTGTATTTTTCATAATTCTCAGCATTATGGGTGAATAGAAAAAGTACAACCAGCCACGAACATCAGAGTGAGGACGAGCAGAGGCGGCTGGCGAGCGCCGAGGAAGGCGGGCGCGGGGTGTTTGGATACCGAGCAACCCCTAGTGACCGGCTCTCCCAGTGCAGCCTCCTGCTTTTCTGAGTCTGCACAAAGACCGCAGACAAATCCGGATTCGCAGAATACAAGCAACGGATTAGTACAAAGAAAGTAGTCCTAGACTCACAAAAGCACCGACAAGCTAAAAAATAAGTCATCCCTTCAAGATAACAAGGACTCTTTTTTAATCCAACCACTTTATTTGACTTACCAAAAGAGGAACTGAAGACACTTCTATGGATATACCAGCTTTTTACTTAAAATTTGCTAATGACTTATTAATCAAATAATGGATTGTTAGTATTATTTCCCCACTAGATGCTACAGCACGTTAAAAAAGTTTACATTTCATAGAGAGATACCAATGTACTCTTTTTGGTCATCTGTTGGACTGCTTGCTACTTTTGAATCATGGGGATGGGGAACTTTTGATCCAAGAAAATCCTATGAACTGTAGAGTTTTCTGGTAAACAAACAGAAAAAAACAATCTACTTCGACAATATGTGGGATTCTTTTTTTTTCTTTCTTTCTTTTTTTTTTTTTTTTTTTTTTTTTGTATCCCTGCAACAGTAACTTTTTTTCTAAATACTTTCACCAGCTTCAGGAAAGGGTGGGTTAGAGTCAGGGGTTTCCTGAGGCTTTTCAGAACATGGTTTTAATGTAGCCCTGTGTTCAGAAGAGCCCCTAGAGAGTCTTGTTTTGGAACACTCTGACGCCTACACGTTATTATCTTTGCTACATTTTGCAGTTTTGTGTGAAATTTATTTTTAATCTTTAACAAAACATGTCCCTGTTTATCTTAAATTCAGAAAAGGTTTAATAATGTAAAACAAAATAACTTTTTAAATAATTAAATTTACAATGAATGCCAAAACATAAAAGTATAAAGCAAGTTAACAAGAAAGGACTTCTTAAAGATCAAAGGAAATGTGTTTATTTGATTTGATTAAAAACAAATAAAAAGTACTTTCACTTTAACAAGTTATAACTGGCTGTTGACAGAAACCAGTGAAAGAGTTTCCCAGTCCCACAGGATAAAGGTTTTTTTCTGACAGAGGTTCACGTACTCAGAACAGATTGCCCACTGATATGTTAAAGGAATTAGATTTTGAAAAGTGACAAAGCTGCATCAATATTAAAAAAAATGGATAAAAGGGCAAGTTTCTTTGGACAACATACTCCTTTTGCTACTATTAAATAGCACTGGTCGTATAAATCAATAGGTATTTCTATATTTCATCCCTCTACACACAACAGAGCTCTGGGAATGGTAGAGGTAAAATGTACCACTTAATTTAGTAGAAAGGCAGGATATATTAGCTCAAAACCTATTTTAACATAGCAGTAGAGTTCCCAGAAAAAAACTGGCTTCTGTAGATCTCCTCTTCCATAGGCAGAAGAGGCAGGTATGGAGTGGCCTTTGCCCCACTTGCCTCTGTCAGGACAAGTTTTGAATTGACTGGGTAAGTCTCTTCCAGAGGTTTCAATGATAAATGTACAGACCTCATATGAAATAATGCCATGCTGGGATCCAGGCAAGAGAGAGCTAAGTAACTGGAACAGGAATATACTTTAAGTTAGGCTGCCTAAAACTTTGTTTAATGAGGTTTTTTGTTTGCTAATACCAATGAAACTACTAAAAGAGCACTTGAAAGAGTATGTTTTTTTAAAAAAGAGTAAACACTTTCCTCATTGCTATAAGATAAAAAAATCCATAGTCTAAGGATTGTTTGAAACCTCAGTGAAGTCCCCCCAACTAAACCAAAACAACCAGATCTGACATTCCAAAATGCTGTGGTAAAAAAAAATCCACAAAATATTTGAAACTGTCATTCATTTCAGACCTTCTCTACATAAAATGATGAAGAGAAATTCTTAAAAAAACAATTATTTGGAGGTTATCTTTCAAGGCAACACATGAAATTCTTCATCCTAAATGTACAGAAGTAACCATTTTAGAGGAGCTAAGTAGTTATTTTCACACTAAAATGAGAGCGTCTACATACTCTTTTAAGAATGTTCACAGAAAAGAATGGCCTCTTTAGCAATTGCAGTTACTACACCTCACTTTCTACCCTGTTACCATCGGCCTGGAAGATGCCTTCAGGCAGACTATCCAGACCTGCAGCCAACAACAGTCCTGCCGGGGTGCTGTGTGCTGGGGCCGCTGTGCCTGGTGCAGTGCCTGCAGGCTCCTGTCTGCACTCTGGTCAGCCTGGTGCTGGTAGCAGCCTTGAAATCACCTTGCACCACCGGGGGCAGCCATGCCCTCTGCTTCGGAGCAGTTGAAGAGCTCATCGCTCACCATGGGCTCTCGCTTCTGATCAAAGCTTTGGTCAGCCCAACAGTTGCTCATATAACTCAGATTAACTTGCAGTGGGGCTGCAGAGAGGAATCTAATCACTCACTGCTGAGATGCTCACTGTAAGGTCATTAAAACAAAGCTGCTTGTGAAAGAAATCAAGCCTTGCTCCAATTCAAAATACTTGGTAATCTGATGAGAAAAAATATGTGTGTGATTTGTGTTTATGTCTGGAAGTTTTCCCTAGTGTGAAAGCCTTTAAAGGAAAACCAGTTCTTTCTTGCAATGTATGTTCTTTTATGTTATGCAGCCTAGACTGTGGATTGCAGTGATGTCAAAAATGTACATGAACTGATTGCATCCTGTCTGTGTCCTGCAAGAATGACTTTGAAAGTTAGATGTTTCATCTCTACAGTCATATCCTGATCAACAAACTCAGTCAATAAATAAATTCATTTAGTGACAAACCTAGCTTTTTCTGTAAGCTGCAGTTAAACAGGAACTTGATTTGTTTTTTGTATTCACATCTATTCTATAATAATGAATCCAGCACCACAATAACCAAATACCCATTATAATTACAAGATCAGAGAAACCTTTGTGGTACTCATTTTCCTAAAAATGATTTAAAAAGACCCAGTCCTCCATTCTCATTCTTTTGAAGTCTTTGCTTTAAACCTAAGACCTAAATACAAAGGGCCAGAACTGTGGTTGAGAATGTGGGGTTTTTTTAAGAGGTGGATGAATTTTGCCCAAGAAAGAGAAAAACAAAGTATAAAGTGTATAAATTTTTCAGCTTTTTTTTTCCAAATCTGAGTGCCATATATAAAATTCATATTTAAATATTGAGTTTCTGTGCAAGATGTGGTGTTTAAATGCCTCATACAAAATTTGTAGCATCAGGGTAATTTCACGCAAAATCTTAAAGGGTTTTATGAACTATAGGTCTCAGAAGAAATATGTGAAATAGATATCCCAGACACGCATCTGGAGCTATGCATTGAAATATGTGGAAAATTCTCTCTTGATTGTCAGAAAATCTTTCAAAGTTCTTCAAGTGCAAGCTAATACTAATTCCGTTACCGTACAGTTACTGTGGCTATTAATACCTGCCTACTAACACATCAGCTTATATCCATCATTCTCAAAACTCATTTCCAGAGATTAACCTGCTTCAGGCCCATCCCTGTTGGCCACTGATGGAAGACCAGGGTCCCAAGGGCTGCCTCAGGTCTCTGCCAGAGCAGTGCACCCCGACACCTCATATGCACCCAGCGTTGCCTGGGAAGGCTCCATGGCCGGCCCAGCAACGAGGCTGTGTTTACCTCTGGAAGCATCACGGCCTGGTTTTACTGCCTCAGGCTGTCAGCACTGTGATGCTGTTGGTGTCATCTAAGCAGCTTCTGCTGCCTATGGTCCAGCGGGAGGGGACGGGTTTGACCAAGAAAAGGTCTCCACACCAGACAGCAACACAGCCACCCTGGTCTACCATGGGAAAGTGTTAGTCAGCTCCAGCTCCTGCCTGGAGCCAGGGCGGTACCGAGACAGTTGTTTTGCTGGCATGTGGGAACAGCCTGGAGTTTTAGCCTGGAGATGAGGAAACTCAGAGGTGACCTTATCACTCTCTACAACTACCTGAAAGGAGACTGTAGTGAGGTGGGGGTTGGTCTCTTCTCCCAGGTAACTAGGACAAGAGGAAATGGCCTCAAGTTGTGCTGGGGGAGGTTCAGGTTGGACGTTAGGAGGAATCTTTTCACAAAAAGTGTGATTAAACATTGGAATAGTCTGTCCAGGGAGGTGATGGAGTCACCATCCCTGGAGGTGTTAAAGGAAAGACTGGACGTGGCACCCGGTGCCATGGTCTAGTTGACAGGCTGGTGTTCGGTCATGGGTTGGAGTCGATGACCTCAGAGGTCTTTTCCAACCTAAACTGATTCTGTGATTCTGTGAACAGTGCGCTCGGTCGACGACCAACAACCTCGGGAGTAGGAAGGCCATTGCCAAGGACGTCAGAGGGCTGGGAACGAACCCCCGCAGGGCAGCGCAGGGCGGGCGGGCACCGGCTCCCAGCCCCCGGCTCCCAGCCCCGCCCCTCGGCCCCGCCCCTCGGCCACGCTCGGCCCCGCCCGCCCGCGCCGTGACGCCACGCGCTGTGGGCGGGGCGGAAGTGAGCGAGCGGCGGCGGCGGAGAAGTGGCGGCGGCGTTGGAGGCTCAGATGGTGAGTGCGGGCAGGGGCCGCGGGGTTGGGGGTTTGCGCTGGAGCGGAGTGGGGCCGGACTGGACTGAGCCGCCCTGCCCTCCCTGTCTTGCCCCCCCCCCCCCCTCCCTCCCCCCTTTCCTCTTCCTTTCGGTGTCCTCGGTGCCGGCGGGCCGTGCTTGAGTCATGGGGCTCGGCGCGGCCATGGCGGGCTCCCCTCATAGGCGCGAAGGGCGCGTGGCGGCTGTGGATAAAGCCCTTCTTCTGGGAGCGGGGCGGAACGAGGAGCCCCGGTGGTCTCCGGCCTCCCGCAGTCTGGGGGAGGGAGGTCACGGCTCGGCCCTCCGCGGTGGGCAGCGGTGGTGGGACCACTTAAGACAGGCTGGGCACTGGTGGGACTCTACAGTGTTGCTTTTGAGGAGTATTTAGTGATTTTTCTCCTTGCGTTTGGCTTTGATTTTCCCTTATCACGTCCCCTAGGTACTGTATCTCTTTAATGCTTTCACTTAACAGCAGTCTCAGAAAGGTCTGGTCAGTGTTGAGTGTGCCAGTTGTAGATGCTTTATATACATGTAAAACAGATATTTTAGGGCTGTCTTATAGCTCTGATGTCAATGGAAGCTAATGCTTAGTACAAAAGACCTTAACTGTAAGCATGATTTTTCTGTTGGGTTTGACAGTGCTGCCGGAGGAAACTCCTGCACTGAACAGCTCATTACTGTCACCTTCCAGAATTTATTCTGCATTGACGAATTGGTGTAGCCAATTTGTGTGAACAATCCTAAAATCACTTCAGTAAAATCGTGTAGGTTAGCTTGAAATTAGTGGTCTGGGTTAATGTGGCTTTACTTAGTAAGTGTGGAGACTTCTGGTGTTCTGCTACAAATTGCTATTTTTCCTTTGTTCTTTCAGCTAACTAGCATACTGGATTGCTTAAGTACACATTGTCCTCTTTGTGACAGCCTCAAACCATGGCTAAAATCAATTTAACCTTACTTGACAATGTCAGTATTACAGTACATGAAGGAATGTTCAGACGTGTTCCTTTCTGTCCTGTCAGCTCTCAGGACCTGCCATCTTCCTTTCCATCCCTGCAGCCCGGGGTGGGAACGAACAAGGGGTAATTGCAGTTTCAGCTGTTTCAACCGGGTCCAAAAAATTTGTTATTGGGATCTTTAACTCTTACCAGACTCCCTGAAAGAATTCTAATTTAGTGTAGGGTTTGTGTTTTGGTGTTTTGAGGGTTTTTTGTTTTGTTTTGGCTTTTTTTTTTTTTTTAAGAGACTCAAAAGACTAAGGCTTCCAGGACCACTTTAAGAAGTTTTTGAGCACTTTATTTCATTTGTCTGGCCTAATGGCCCATACAAAAGGGGTCTGGTTGTGTTAAAGTAATCCTCTCTTTTTTCTTGTTCCAGAATTCCAGAGGCACTGCTTCTCTGTTGAAGGATAGTATCCCACTTACTGAGTTTTCAGCTTCAGGGCCATTTGAAGGTCCCGATCTTCTGCGCAGAGGGTACGCTCTACTTTTACTTGTTGAATTGTGTCACAGACAATGATGAACTTCAGATATAGGAAGAAAGTATGTGTTCATGTTGGCTTTTTAAAGAAGTTTCTTTAAAAAAGCTATAGCCTAAAGTCCACATATTTAATCAAATTCTCTTTCAAGCATGGATTTTCTGTGAAATCTCATTTCAAGAAGTAGGTAACATTAACAGACTTTTATCTTTGTGATGCTGTTCTTTACAAAAGAGACAAAGTATTAATAATTGTGAAATATCTGCTGGTTTTAGTATACATGGATGTAAGTCTGCCTTAGCACTGTGGGAAATGGTTTAGTTTCAGCACTGGTACGAAATGTAGAAGTAATATAGTCAAAAGAGTGGGTTTGGGGTTTGCCATTTTATGTAAGTGCAAAACTATTTAGATTGGTTATTTGTGTCTTGGATAATGAATCTGAAATAAGCTCGTGGAGTTTTAAATGCCGGTAATACAGCTGAGTGGTGGGGGAGATATGTACAATATTCCGTTGTAAAAGCTTGGAGAGTTTGAAATAAGATACAGAGTAGCTTGGACATAAGTAGATCCATTATGTTTTAATTTGTTAATATTTTTTCTATTTCTGAATGGAATCAAGGAAGAAACATTATCATTCTGTTTTGTCAAGCATAAAGGAACAAGAGTGCCTGAAATCAAAATTCTTTTTCTTCAGATAGTGCTCTAGTTATAGGTCTTATTTGCTGCTTCACTATTAAGCTTTTTTTTTTTTTTTTGGTAGTTCAGGCTGTGCTAATTGCTAATTGTGTATCTCTGTGGGGTGGTGTTTGTATCTGAGATTAGTTTGGGAATGCAATTTAAAAAAATATCCCATTTAATTTGCAGTTAATTTTTTTACTTTTTTTTTTTTAGTTTTACAAGTGTGAAAAGTGAATTGTTGCCCAGTCACCCACTGGAGTTGACAGAAAAGAATGTAAGTATAACATCAAATGTAGCCATCTTTGCTCTTGGCTAATTATGAAGTTTGAATTAAAAATGCGGTAACCTGGACTGCTTGTGCAGTAACAAGTAATGAATAGTCTTGTCTTTTAACAGAATAAAGATATTCAAAACAGTAACATATTTTTTATACAAATAATGTTTTGGGCAAATTTATTTAATGTTAACCTCGTACTTATGACTCTCTCCAAGTATATAAACAGACTTCCAAGTAGGGATTTGTGTGCTAAGGTTTAGTCATCTAAAAGTTATTGAGTTAGTTGTGTATGCAGTCTCTATAGGTAGGTGAGAGACCCACCTGACACCTCTGGAAGGCTGATCCTTCCATTTTATCTGTAGGTTTACTTTGTCTTTACTATATCTTTATTTTCAGACTTTCAGTCTCATGTATTTTTCAATAAATTACTTGGTCCCAATCTACACATTTTACACATACAGTCTGTCATAAGCGTGTGTGGTCTTGTCTGGCTTAGTCATCACTTGTGGACCGTTAGGAGTGGTCTGTAGGAGCTAAAACCAGACAACTTGACAGCTGATTGAGCTGAATGTCCTCTCTAGTGCCTCTTTTGTCAGCAGAGAAGATACAATGTATCCAGTCTATCAATATCGTGAAGACGGATCTAGTGTTCCAAACTGCTAAGTTAAGCAGCATGACAAGGTCTGGCTGTAATGTCTAATATATTCTAATTTTAACCAGTGTTAGTGTTGCCTTGTGTTACAAGGCTGATGTTATTGTGACTGCAATTTTATGAGCTCATTTATAAATAGTATAAATGTTTCAGAGCTATTTGTCAGTCGATTTTTTTTTTTTAAACTTCTATAACCTAGTTTTTAACTCTGTTCTTGCTATATAAAACCTGCATAATTAAAAGATCACAGGCTAGAGAGACAAAAATGCATAGAAATAATTAAAACAGGCAATGTGATCCCCTAAGAAGTATGCGAATCTTCTAAATTGTTTCTCCCACATTTTGTTTGGTTAGTTTTTCTGTAAGCTTATGGCCAATTTATCTAAGAATTATTTTCATGAATGGGAAAAGACTTACCTTAGCCTGAGATAGCCATGGTTGTTTTTACTGCCATATACGTTACAAAGGTTATTCAGGTAGCACTAGTAGAAACCCATAGTTCCTGCTATCAAGAGATCCTTACCCTTATAAAATAAAAGAAATGGAAAAATAATGTGACCAGAATTATAAGTTTGGGCTGAGGAATATAATCAATATTTTCTACTGACTTTTGAAAAGCACTCAATATATGCTGTTATGAAGAAAATGCTTGTTGCACCTTTTGGCTTGCATTTTCCTGTTGGTTTTTGAGATCTCTTCTCATATGTGACTCAATGTTCTCTACTAGTAGGCTTTTGTCATGGTGATTGAGTACAGGTTTCAGAATAAGAGATTTGTTTTTTTTTTGGTTATTCAAGCTTAAGCTTAACATTAAGTATAACTTACTTTTGTGAACTTCAGTATTCATGAGCCGGCACTTTTTCTTTAAAAGACCCTCTGATAAGTAGATTTTCTTTGTCTTACTGATCAGTCGTAGAGCAGTTGGTAAAGTTGTGAGCTTTCATTTGCTTTTCAGAGTCATACAGAGTGTAAGTGGTGCTCTGTCTTCCTACTTGATCAGAAAAGAAGTATATCAAGTATTTTCAAGTAGTCTTTGATGGCTGACAATGACATCAATTGTGGATTTTAAGTTTGTGATCTCTAAACCGTACTTAGCTTCCTATTCATGCGGACAATATGGTAGTAAAGTACTGCAAAACTATACCACTTGGTGGTGTTACATGTCCTGATTATCAAAAATAACATAATAAGATCGGTACTATTAATTTGGAATAAAATCCAGCAAAAAGCAATTTTAGTTTCATAAAACAAATCTTACTGCATCACTGTCTTTCCCATACATTTGAGATATGATGGTTTCACTGAATTTTTACATACAGATTTAGTAAGCAGGTCACAAATCTCTTCTATGGCTGTACTTGAAAGTAACTTTTTCTAAAATAAAAATCAATGTTGTTTGTGACAGTTCCAGTTAAATCAAGATAAAACAAACTTTGCCACGCTGAGAAATATTCAAGGAATCCATGCACCTTTAAAGCTGCAGATGGAATTCAGAGCAGTGAAACAGGTAAGCATTTTTATCCAACAGGTAATAACTTAAACTACTTTAAAAATGCTTCTTTTGGAACATGCTTTCATAGAGACATCTTTCTTTGAGATATATTTCCAAAATAAATTAATTCTTTTGGAATTTATTGTTGCTTTTATTAAAACCAACTAACTAAACACTGCAATTAATAGTTTTCAGAAGAGTCAATATGCTAAAACCTTTCAGCTTTATTGGTTATTTGGTGAAGTGGTAACTCTTCTAGCTTTTCTGTGCACTAGCTTCCTGTCAACCTTCAGACGAAAGCAGGAAGAATTGAGTAATAATTTCTAAAATTAATACTCTCTTCTGTGGAAATGTATGTCCTTCATGGGAAGGAATCTCTGCACCTATAAGGAAAAGAGACTTGGAGGTCTGAAGCAGATAGTGATTTGGGAGGGGATATAGAGGTAATGTGAAACCTGAAACAGAGAATTTGCTATGTGCTTATTGTTCCGCAGCCTTTGTTGTAAGATCAAGGGAGGTCTACAGGGAGTTAAGTTCAAAGGTTTTAAGTCTGAATTGAGAAGCTGAGTTTGTCTCCTTTTCCTTATTTTCTCCTAGGATGGAGAGTAGCTGGAGAGAGGCTGACTTTGTCCCTTAGGAAACACAGAAAGTTCATTGGTCTTAGTAAACTTTTTTGCCTTGTAGAAGGTTGTCAAGCTATTAAGAGTTGGTTTTCCCAGTGTATTAGAGCAATTTTGTACTCCCAGTGATCAGGTGCTACTGAACCACAGTGAGCTGCATTAAACTTGGCAGAAGTTACTAACTAGTCCCAATGATCTTAAAGTCAGATGGGACATATGAAAACATCTCTGGATCTCAGCTGTGCTGTCTTGTGAGGAAAAGTCTTTTCCCTAACTTAGGTTTGCACATTGTAGAGAATGAGGGAGGTGAGGATATCCTGCTAGTGTGTCTCCACAGATATTTTGGGGGAAATATGATGATTAGAAGGCTTTCCACTTCCAGATTCATGTTGGGTACTCTTGTGGTTTAATTTCACTTCAAGATGTTTACTGGAATAGTATATTTGCACTTCTGACTGTTGTACCAGTCATGATTATGGAAATCTTGGACTTATTTTGTGTGTAGAGATACGATAATTTTATGGTTGAAAAGTATGTTCATGGTATAAGTGAAGTATCTCTAGTAGCACTGAATGCAGTTTTAAGTACAGATACGCCCTTCTCAGGATATTTAGGTTCTAAATGCTGTGTGTGCCACTTAAAATTTTTTTTGTAATTCTGTGCATGGAGGGTACAGAAGACTGTTGAAAGTAACTGGGAGTGGACTTGAAGCTTAAGAATTGGTGGGGATCAGAGAAATAATTATGATTTAGATCAATTGCAAAGAGGATTAAATTTAAATGTGAAAATCAGTATAGCTCTTTCACTTGCATTCCTGACTTGTGTCAGAGATGTAGTTTCCAAATTCTGCAGCTGTAAAACTCCAGCCCCAGGAGCTGCCGGCTCATGGGATTGGCTATGAGTTTTACTTTAATATATAGATACAGAGTTCTTTAATACCTTGAGATGGCATCAAGATAATAAGCCACGGGCTTGTTCCCAAGGAATTTCTTTATTAATTTAAAGGGGTAAATAAGGGGACTTGGTGAAAGTTCAAAAGGACACCACACAAGCTAGACAAAATGTTTCACACAATACTGACTCAGCATATACTATTAATCCACAGCACTTAAATCAAAATGCAGTAAATCAATTCCACAACACTTAAATCAAGATCCAATCCCTCTATCCTCCTAAGCATCAAGAAGCAAAGAAAGAGAAGCAGAGGCATCAAGAAGAGAGAAGGAGAAAGAGGGAGAGACAGATTATATAGCTACCTCTGAAGCCTCGTGGAAGACCAGTTCTTGCATGTCCAATGGCAGAGCCACGACACAAGGCAAACACATGCCCTTGGTTTTATCTGCTCTGATCCCTATGGCCAGCCCTTCCAGATGGGGTCTCTGACCCAACAGCCACTCTGGGGATTTCAGGTCAGGGTAAGGGATGGTGTCCTCACTGTCCCTGCCAATCTGAGCTGGCCTAGGGGCTCAAGGATGTGTGGTGTTAGAGTTTTCCCGGGCTGTTTGTGACTGGCAGCTACTCCGAGGCTTCCCCATGTAGGCTCCAGGGGCTGCCATGAGGGATATGAGAGGATGCCACCCTTCCTCACACGAGGTTTGACCCATCGCTTCCCTCTCCACGCACGCGCACACACACACTCACACACACATGCACTCCACAAGTTAGTTCTGACCTAATAACTGATCTGGTGTCCAACAGCAGTATACATCAATTGCCCAATACTGACCGCAGGGTGTGGATGTGTTTATTGCAGTGAGCCTCCCCAGCTTAATGTGAGAGGAGCTTTACAAAAGAGAAAGAAACTGTCTTTTTTTTTAAAGCAAACTATTTGCTCTAGTAGCTTTTTTTCACTGCACTGAAAGCTAAAAATCTTTTGAAAGGCAGCTGTTTTCCAACAGAGAGATAAACAACAGAAGATGGTGGTGTTTAGATAGGTTTTGCTGTCTATATGTGCCAGTAGTTCTCTTATTTCAGCATTGTTTTTAAAGAAAGTGACTGCCTCTTGATTTTCCTCAGTCGCTTCAGACTGAGAAGTCCAAATATGAACCCTTTCAATTTCAGACTTGCAGAAACTTGAACTTTTTCTTGAACTCTTCTTACAGGTCCAGCGTCTCCCATTTCTTCACAGTTCAAACATGGCATTGGATACTCTGAGGGGAAATGATGAATGCATTGGTTTTGAGGATATCCTTAATGGTAAATACATTCTGGTTTTAGTGTTATGGAAACATTTAAAGGTAAAGTATGGGAGCCGTGAAGTTCTTTGTCTCTATGGAACAAGAAAATTAAACTTACAAAATGCAAAGAACAGAATTAATTCCTAAAAGCAAAGAAGCACTGGGGAAGGAGAAATAAATGTGCCTCAGCTGCTAATTGTGTTACTTTGAACTACTGTGTAAGCCAGTATTTGCTTGTAGGCTGGATTTCTAAAGGAGTAGAAGATTATGCACTTATGTTGTATGCCTGTTTCCTCAGAAATTTTTAACTACTTGTGCAGATTTTGAGGAGCAGAGGTTACAAATATACAAAGTTTTTGTAAGTTTTGTAATTAAAAAGAAAGAAAGGCTAGAGGGAGAGATGGAACTAATGAACCAGAGCCTTCCACAAATTAATAGGTTGCAGTTGTGTGGTTCTCTGCTGACTGTCAGTATGTGTGAAAGAGAATAAACCTGGAAAAATGGGTTTTAAACAAATTATTTCTTTCTAACTGGTACTTAAGGACACGGAAGAAGGGAGAGAGTATTTTGACATGTGATTGGAGAATGAAAATAGTTGGGGACATATGAAACTGGAAATAATAAAGAATAAATAGGAATCTAGAGGCATGAAATAAAATTCTGAGATGGATATACAGGGATCAAGGGAAGGAATCCCAGGCTCCTGTGGTTCAGTGGGGGAAGAGCAATGTCGAACATAATTTATAGGAAGTTGGTTATTTACCATTGCTCACAACAAGCTGTTAGATGCTTATAGAATGCTTACAAGTGGGTTACAAGTGTTTTTGGTAAGGCTCTACTTATCAGCTGAGACTGGATTAGGTGTTTTTGTCTCTGGAGGAATTAGAGGCATTAATATGTCTTATTTATGGAAGGAAAACAGTCTGATACACCTATAAAGAAAGTGGTATTTCTTCTGAATTGCAGTCATATCCTGTCTTCTGGTCTTGATTTTTTTTTTTTTTATTTTTTTTTTAATACGGAAATGAAGTTCATACTATCAGTATTGGTCTCTCTTGTGTTCTCTGTACAGTCCTTGATAACCTTTGAGTACAGTGGCTAATGTCAACCATACTCTACAGAATGGAAGGAATATTTAAGGGTATAGAATTTCTGTGAAACTAGGCAGTTGGGTGGAGAAGAGAAACCATGAGTATATCCCAGCTAACAGAAGGGAGGACTGTGAGCTCCTATTGCACAGAGAAGTTGTATTGGAAAGAGGTATAGGGCAACTATGGAGAAAAGCTTCAATCAGACCTGTTTTCTTAAACACAAAACTTGATCAGCCTTGAGATTCAGGCTACAGGAGTCTGTGCTTATGTAGAAATGGTTGGTTTTGCTTGAAGAATATATGTGTCTTTATGATGATATATATATTTGTTATCTGATCAATGCTTTGGATAGAGACTTATGAGTTACAGAGCTGCATTGTGCAACACTGTCAAAAATCAGTCAAGCAACTGTTGCACTAAACGTTATAATGAAAAAATGTTTTTATTCATAGTTATTGATGGTCTTTGAACATTAGTAAAAACCTCATGCTGTCAACTTTTCTTTTCCCAGATCCATCACAGAGTGAGGTTATGGGAGAACCACACATGATGATGGAGTACAAGCTTGGTTTATTGTAACAAAATATACTCCACAAAAATGTTTTGTGTGTGTCTTTCTACTGCAGATCTAAATACATGATACTAAATTGACACTAACAGTGTTAAACAGTCCTACAGTTATCATTTGCCTTCCTTGATGAAAAGGCACATTAAATGTTTAAAGTCTATAAATTGTTCTGTGCTTGTCAATCAAGTAAATGTCCTGTAACTAGGTAGTTTAAATGTCTTTTCATACACTGCTCAGGACAATAGCTTCTTAAATATGGAAATGCTATATATGTACACAAGAAATCCAAAAATACGCGTGCATTTGAAAACTGACTGCTGTAGGTTAATGCATTTAATGGCTGTTCTCATGGAAGAACTTAAGAGGGAAAGGAAGGTATTTTCCATTGAGTAACATTTTGTTCATGAAAATGTCCATACACTTTTTAAACTATTGAATAAAAGTTTGCTATAAATGCTCTTGCGTTCCAAAATATATTTAATCATTAATCAAGCATCTCTTACCCATGACACAGTGTTGTTCCTTTTTATTGCAATATCTTTAAAGACCTTTAACATGTGCACTGCCAATGTAATTCTGCTACATACGTTTTATCCCACTCTTGACAGTTGTTTATGAGGGAGCTGTTAAGCCTTTGTGTAGAATTGGAAGTATTGCTGTAAGAAGAGAGTTAAAAGTATAGATCTTTTCATGTGTGTCCCTGAGAGGATGTTCTGGTTTCTGAAAGTAGAAGCAAATTCCACTTGGAGTTTAAAGAGATGTTTTAAAATCTTATTTGTAAACGTAGTCCAAAAGAGCACTCCTAGGTCTAGGCATTTTAGTAATAAGAAAGAATGCAGAGCCTGATTATGAAAGTGCCTAATAAAGGTGCTGCAGTAAGAACATGAAGATATGGTGGTACAAATAAATTATTTTTTGTATGTTTACAGAAATCAAGTCTTAATTAAGGGAGAATGAGAGATCGATACTTAAATACACCTTTTAAAGGAACAGACCACTGAAAGGGGTTTTGTGTGCTGAAGTTTTCTTTATTTATTAAATTCAGGTTGTAACAATTATTTTTAATGTTGTACATGTGCATATGTCATATATAAATCCTACAAGGCAGCTAGTATGTGGCATATTAGAAAAAAAGTCTGCAGTTCAAAAAATGTTATCTTTTGGCATATGTGGGGAGCTTGAAACAATATTTCTAAGGCAGGAACTCTTTATTCAGCAAGTTTTAATGACTTAGTTAAATTTCTAAGTGCACTTGGTGTTCTGTTGTAGATAATTTTAGCAGAAATGTTGCTATAAACCTCTCTTCACAATTGCAAATATCTCTTGTCTTTTCAGTGGGCTTATAGCTGCTACAAATTCCCTGTGTGGGCGAAAGCTTCTAGCTTTTGTCCTGTAAAGTTTATAGTGCTTTTATGTGCAAAACATTGCAGCAAATTAGAAACGTTAAGATGACAGTAGGAGACACTTTATTGGTGGTTTTATTTGGTTTTATATTCAAACTTGTTTCATTTAAGAAGTGAAGCTTCTAAAATTGTCTTTCACTTGAGACTTGCAGAGATTAGAGGCTTCTGCTATGTAGTACAAGCAATTTCGTTTGGAGTTTATTTTGCCTTAGGGAGGTTAAACATAGGACCAATGAATTGAACATGCAAGCATAGATCTACTCCCATTTTTGTTGTCCATAGCTGTCCTGGTCCCTTTGTGGGCTGATAAGACTACTGTTCAAGGCTTAGGCCAGAAAGTCTGAGGGATTACCTTGCCAGGTCTGGGACAACTTATGGTGTGGGCATGGATTTTCAGGAGGATTTTAAGGTCTGCCTTCCTACCAGCACTGTTCCAGAAAACAGAACCAATAGTTGTACAATTACTGGTACCTTATAGCTCCCTACTTCAGTGTATTGAGCTGGTTGGCCTTTCCTAGTGTTGGTTGGAAGATGGATGCTATTGCATCTGAGCAAAACTACATTAAGACGAGTAATTAGAGTTTCTCATTAGTGCAGTGAAGAACCAGATGCAGACTAGGAGGCTGCATGTAATTTCTAGGTGGTTTTGTTCAACAATTAGTATACTTTGTAATAATCCTGGGTGAGATCAAACCATGTTCAGAGGCAGGAAGGTGCATTGTTCATTATGTATGTAAGGAAACTAATCTTAGGGGTTTAGCCAGGCTGGAAAGCAAATAGTACATGTAAGAGGCCTGTGCAAGAATTTATGCTGTTAATAAAAGTACTGGGAGTCAAACAGGACTGAGGCAAAGAGCTTTTGAGATAAAGAGGAAGGGTTATGCTCAGACAGTGCTGCAGGGGGTTGGGCTGGGGACTGGGCTTTCTGCCCCAGCCCATTCTCTCCATTTCATATAAGCCTCATTCTGTAAAGCAGATACTGCACGTAGCAACCCACAGAGGCGTGCCATGCCTTGGCAGTGGAGCTGGGACAGACTCTGACAGAGCACAGGGAGGAAAACACTTCCAGATCCACTGCTCTGGCAGGTGCAACAGAAGCCCCCACCCTGACTCCTTCCACATGGCATGCTGTCCCTGCTCTGCAGTTCCCTGCCTTCTCTTGGTACTGACGTTCTCAGCAGCATTTTTTCCTCTCCTCAGGCACAAGAGGGAGGTAAAAGCACATCTTCCTGCTATGCTGTTTGTTTGTTATGATCACAAAAAATAGATGATACCATAGTGCTGCTTCTTCTGTTTACACAAACATTCTTCTACCAGTCATGCCATTGGCCATTTGTCAAAATTTTAAAAAGTACAAGAACTACAAATGCAGCAGAGTTAAAAAAAACAAACTTCATTATTAATTTATATCAAAATAATTTGCATTATACACAAATAAACCAATTATTATAAACTGAGATTTTGATTTATTAATCTGAAGCATATCAGTACTTGAGTTCCTCAGCTTGCACCATGCTGGGCATTTTAACACAGTTCATATCCTTGGTGTTTGGACCTAAATTTACAGCCAGTTCTAAATGCTGCATCTACCAGAAATACTTTGCAAACAGCACGTACTTTGTACAGTAAAAGCAAACCATAACAAAGCCATTCCTGAAGCGTACGTGCTTGTTCTCAGTTGGACCAACACACCACCACTATGGAACTGGCTTGCTTTGTTGCTACCTTCTCAGTGCTACTGGAGGTGTGCACCAAAGAAGAGGAAGTGAAGGCACACCCCCTTCTTCATTTGCCTTTTTTCCCCCCCCGGCAGTTTTCTGTGAAATAGTTAATTTCATAAAGCCTTACATAACTGCATAATGAAGAGGCGAGGAAGACAATGTAATCTTTGTGCTGAAATCCTTTACATCAGTGTTTTCTAAATCTCTCTACAAGTACTCATTATGTTCTGGACCCACTTGTAGAACTCGGCCCACAAGTTGGCAGCAACTTGGGCACCTCAAAGGAGGAGAGTTAAGCAGTTTTATTTTCTGCCCAGTGTCTAAACTACCGAGGAAAAGCTAATGATCTTTAATTGCTAACATCACCCTCTGTAGTTCAGGACAGAAGTGTAAGAGCTGGCTATAGCTGTTAGCTGTGTAAATACTTGTTCCCTCTGCCCTGGATAAATGGTACTGTTTTCACCTGTGATGAGCAGGCAGTGGTCTCCTGAATACTGTAAGCTCTCCTTTACCTTATTTGAACCCTCTTTCAAACCTCAGTGAGCACAACACATAACTTGTAAATGATGCAATTGTTCAATTGTGAAGGATCTACAATAGTATCATCATGATGTGGTACTACTATTTCTTGGTGGAGTACTGCAGTCACCGACGCTAGCCTGGATGGCTAACTTAAGCAAGCTCTAGAGTACCACTGAAAAGTTCTGCAGGAATTCTCTGTTCATGTGATGGGTATCAATGGCTGTAAGCAGGTCATCAGTTATACAGCACATGCTATGTCTGTGCATTTTTATCCTATGCTGTGTGCGAGTTCCCACATCATAGTTGCTTTCCTAGTGGTTTTTTCCTTTACTAAATGTCAGCCACTTTCCATGATTTTGACTTCTCTGTCCAATCTGTTTTGGGGGACAAGTCACACACCACTTTCAGAGATCAGAACAGTATTGGCTGTCAAACTCTTAAAAAAATCAACATATGGGAATGGTCTCTAACATGGTGTTATATTTTCACTTCCACTGTGCACTCCAGAAGCTAGTACTCAGAATAATTTCTACTTAAAGATCTCAAGGGAAAAGGTGAGGAGTCAAAGCTGAAACTGATTCCTAGGTTTGGCAGTCTCACCAGTTTGCACTGTGGCCTTGGGCATGTCACTTGTCCTCTCTGTTAATTTCTCTCCCTATGCAAGAGGGAAGAGAGTATCTATTATGAAAGGATGTTCTTAATAGCATTTGTAAAGTGCTTTGAAGATGAGAAATGCTCTTCAACTGCTCATATAATTATGCTGTATTTGTTGCAAGATGATTAGATTCATGATTCAGATTTGGTCACCTCGTTTCAGGGTTGTGAAGAAAATAAAGATCCACTGATAAGAAATGCTATTACAGCCTTTCACTAAAAGAAACATTTAAACCAAGTACCAACTTAACTAGAAAATAAAAAATATCTCTGGGACAAAAAATAGAGATGTCTGTACGCAGTCCCTAATATATGGAAAATTAAAAATGTGCAATATGGCCTCTGCAAAATGTAGGCACAGGCTGAACTTCACACTCTGCAAGCTGGATATTTCCTGAAAGTTCTGTGTAAAAATCCATTTTAAGAACTAAATCACGGGCAAGGTCCACACATCATACATTATACTTACACAAACACTCTACTAGCTGCAGAGCAGTAAGTCTGCTTACAGCAGATGTTAAGTACTGCCTCCAGGTTGGTTGCTTTCTGAAAAAAGTACCTTTTTAGTAATTTTAGAAAGGTTTGGGGGCTTCATCATTAAGACAGGACTTTAAAGATGTACACAGTGGACCACATCCTCATCTGGCACAAGCTCCAATGGCTTCAGCAGAATTGCCAGCATCCTCTGAGTTAGTAACTTATCTCTGTCACCCCATTTAGAATGATACAAGATGTATCACAATCCATACCTGACATTCTCAAACTTGAGAAAGGGTAAGTGGAAGGAGTATCACCCTACCTAATTTTTTTCTTCATGATGAAAGCAGCATTATAATCTCAACTGCCTGCCTATTTGCATAGTTAAGAGCTAGCTTTAGTCAAGTGCTGAAAGACTGGGTATCGAGTGCTACCAATTTAGTGCTTATTGCTGCAGGGCCACTTGGAGATTGTGTTGTGTTATCTCTATGGTCTCTGTATGACATAATGGTCTCTGCCACTGCATGTGAGATTAGAAATCCCAGGTGTGGGGATCTTTTGTTCAACTATCGGCACTCTCTATGCTGGATACTTCTTCAGGTACCAGCAGAGCCAAGTCCTCCCCATTCCAGCTTGTGCACAGAAGCCAGCTGTAAGACAAAGATAAGACAGATATCTTTAGTTGAGATAGTTACTTAACAGCATTCTGATTCAGCACCAACAAACATACTGGATAGCTCTGTATGGCCATCTTCTGTGGCACAAAGCTCTTGATGTATCTTAGTAAACAAAAGCAATGACACAACTTGTACTCATTACAGAAGTCAGACAATATCATTACTCTGTCTTTGATCAAAGTACTCGACTACCATGTCCATTACAGACTGGAACAACCACCCTTTTTGCTCTCAAACAGCAACATTTCATGACACTCTCAAAAGAAAGGCTCAGAGAAAGGTTATTCAAAGGGTCCTGAAACACTATAATGATAGAAGATAAAGAAAAATAACTTCCAAAAATCTATGGTGATGATGGACTACAGTCCTGATGGCAAGATGGACTGATTGATGGTAAATATCTGTAGTGAAGCAGGTACAGACTTAAAATGATGTGAAATGTTCTAAAGCTACAGCATTATCACTGCCCGTTTAAATCTTAAAGTGCAGCTGATGTAGAGATAAAAGGTGACTGAGGTGAAGTCTAAGTATTAGGAAAAACTATACAAGTCTCTAGCAAGCGTGCCACCCTCTTAAGGAATACACCTTTCCCCCCCTCCCCCTGAATAGTAATCTATCTAATGAAAAATTATCCTTCTGTCACTTAGAGTTTTGTTTCAGCATCCTAAAAAGAAGTAATTTATATTGGAAATAACATAAAGTGACCTTTGCTTTTATGAGTACTCATGAATAATGGTATTTCACTGTCAGTATTACTAGGTGGTCACCAGATACGATAAGACACAACTGCTATAGAGGTCTATTTTTTAAACATGTCTACAGGTTTGTTCTTTTGGGCCTTAAAATCTTTTACAGATTTTAATGGCACTGGGTCACAAGGTATGACCAAAGACCAGGACAGAGAGCTTTCCATTAAATTCATGGCGTGATTGGTCATGTTTGTAACCCTAATTAGCATCTAGAAGAGCTCAGATTGCAAAATTAAGCTCATGCATTTCAAGAGATCTGTTACTTTTGTTCTTTGTGAAAGGCTTTCCTGTAAAAAAGACCATGTAAAGGTCTCAAACCAAGAAAAGGCACACACATGTGGGCAAGGCTATGGTGTGTCCCACAAGCGGTACATTCACGGTAGACTTCACTTTGGGGGAAGTTCACAGCATAAGGCTGAGGGATCAGAGAAAAAGTGTGAAACTGGAGCTTCTACAACACACTAGAAAATAGTAAAGTGAGAATTACCACACTAAACCATTCAGCTTCAACTCATGTCAGAACAGAAATTACTGGCAAAAGCAGTCAGAAGCACCCTCCTGATCTGTACTTACCACAGGACAGTCAGTGGAATTAGACAAAGACCTGCCGATAGGAGGAAGCTAAAGCCTGAAAACCATGCAACAGTAGTTGCATACAGAATATTAAAAACTGAAATTGAAACACTGCCGGTCACAACTTCTAAACAGGCAATACAAGCAAACACAGCACCTGCCAAAAATAAATGGGTGAATTACAAACAAAACAAAATAAAACCTCTTCAAAATACTGACATTTTTAAACATGTTTTGAAAGATCTATCAACAGTATTTTTGCAAGTATACACGTAAAAAGCATCAGAGTATCATACTTTGCTATGGAAATGTCTTCTGTGGAAACTCCTACAAAATGCTTGTTCTTTTTAATGAAAAAAACCAAAATAAAACATTTTGCTGATGGAAACTTTCTTTGCTACTATTCTGTCACCATTCCTACTTTCTTGAATCTGCTTATCACATGAAATTCAACCTGTTCATCCTCATTAACCATGTTCTACACACTTCCATCCTTTATCCCTTCCAATTTTCTTCTTTATTCTCACTCTTCCCTTTATTGTTTCTTCCTTCTCTAATCTTCACTCCTGTATGCCAAAAAGACTGACCCAATGAAGACTGCTGGTTCAGCATCTAACCATGTCCCTCTCATTTCTGAAAAGAAAGAAAGAACAGTTTTTGGACTGAACCACCCTTTGGGGTGGCAGTCTATCCCATCAGTGTCTTGTTGAACACATTTTCCCAAGCTGTATTCATAATCATGGGACCACAAACAAGATCACTGTATGTAAGCAGAAAAGGATGATGAGGCAACCTGATTCCTGCATCAAACTACTCAAGTACCCAAAGCCCTGAAGAATGGCAAGAAACTGCAAAACCAGAGGTCTATGTTAGCACAGCTAGTAAAAAGAGATCTTTGGTTTAGTATACAAAGATTAGTCTTCTAAAAAATAAAACCAAACAACTTGGGAGAATGTATCTAGAAAGCATATGTTTCCCAAAATCTAGAAAATATATGCTCCCCAAAAGCAAAATATGGGATACTAGAACCACATTTTGAGGCCTGATATGCGTTTTTTCCTGTGCTCCATAACGACAGGACTTCGAGAAGTAATGTGTTACATTTTTTGGGACATGTTTAAGAAGCCACAGGCACCCATGAAGATGGGTTCCTCCATAGCTGAAGATCCAAGTCTAATTGTTTTCAAGTGCTTTGAAGGTTGACCACCTACTGCTTACCTTTCTAAATTTGTGTGACATTGACTAAATAACAAAATATATCTTTTTCTGCATGTCAAAATCTTGTGAATGTAGAAGCCCTTGTGAAATCACATTTGTATAAATCTTGAGCATTCTTCTGCTTCAAGTTCCCCATGGTCTTTATTTTAAGAACAGTATCTCCTTTGAGGGTGGAAACTTACAGTGGTTTTTAACACAATGTTGTTTATATTAAATTCAGAATCAAAAGCCATTAATATCAAGACAAAGGGTCATATTATATGGAACTTGAAAGAAATGCAGTCTTAAAATACCAATACAGATCTGTTAGTTTAAAGGTAATCTTGGTGCATCTCTGTTTTGAAACACCATATTATTTTATTGTTTAAAACCAAATGCTACTCACCCTGTTCACCAGTGAGAACCACTTTTGACAGCATGGATCGGAGAACAGGAATAGGCATAAGGCAGAACAAAGATGGCACTCTCACTGTAAAGCAATCATGAGATATTGAAGTAATTCAAATCCAGGATTTTACAAATACATTGCAAATGAAACAGTAATGCACTTTTGAGTGCTTAGTTCCTCAGATAATAAAAGGCAACAGGAAAGAACTGGAAGTGCACTGAGACACAATTATCCATGCACAGAGAAATTAATAAATCAAATATATTTGTATGGCACTGAAACCAAATCATAAGCAATTCATTCTGTTCTCTCCACACATTTCATCTTTTAATCAAATCAGTCTGATCAGTCTGATCAACCATGTATATTTTACCTCTCTATGACCCTTTCAAGATAATACGTCCAATATTCAACAATAGCATTCATTACAGATAACACAGCAGTATTGTCACATATATTGTTGACCGTGGAAAAACTGATTCTGAACTTACCTAAAAACATGAGCAGGGTAGTTTTGGCAAAGGCAGCCATGATCATTCCTCCAATGTAAGAAAATATCCCAATAAAGACAATATAAATGTCTTTGAGACATTTAGAAAATAAGTAAACTCCTAAAAAACTGGTCAGAGAGACAGAAGTGAATGCAGCTGCTCCATATCCAATGTACACTTCATTCCAGCAGAGCGGCTCATCCAGTTCATACAGTGTAAAAAGCGAACTCCCACCAAGCATAGTAAACATATAAGTCATAAATGCAAAAAGTAACACAATTATTAAAATTCTCTTTTTATAAGGGGCAGTTTTAAAAAGCATGTACACTCCAGAAAATGTCTCCCTAAGAAGTTCTTTATAGGATACTGGTACCTCGTGCTGGAATTCAGATACACCTATGGTATCTTCCAGAAAAAATATAATATAGATGATATTAATGACATGAAGCAGAGATGCTGTCACAAATGTCCATGTAAAGCCTATTCCTCTTAGAAAGTAGCCAGATGAGAGTCCTGCCAATCCCGATACAATTCCAAAAATCAAATCCACTACAGCTATTCGTGTTGTTTTCTGGTTCTCATCATGACAACCATCTGCTATAAAAGCAAAGCCTCCTCCAAGGAAAGTTGCTATACTCCCAAAGAGTCCAGTAACAAATGCAACTGCAAATAGGACAGAGAGTGACAAGGAAAAATATGATATTGCAGTGAGGCTAATACCAGCAATCAAAGCTCCCATTGATGGTAAAACTAAAGACCTTTTGTGTCCCTGGCGATCCCCATTAGCTACAATGACAAAGGCAACTATAAGGCTGGGAATGGCCCCAGTTAAGTCCAACTGCATATTAAAAACAGAAGCTTTTTCTTGAACTTCCTGCAAAGAGAAAATAAAAATAATTGTAAATACTGTAATACGTTGGGGGGGGAATCTGTAACAATATTATTTACATAATTATTAGGTGCAATATGATGAATAGCACAGTATGTGTTTATAGATTATAAATTATACTATTATTAAACCAAATACAATGTAATTTTATAAGATTATATGACATATTATGGTATAATAAAATATAGCACATTACTTTATAAGAATGCATTATATTACAGTAATCACTAATACAAAGGAATTGCATATTCAGACTCCTGCTTTTGTAATTTGATCTTCAATATTCCTCAAATATCCCTTGTTACATTTTAAACCAGAAATTAGTTCTTAAGACACAGTCTTACTAGTACTGTTAACAGAGAAGTTTCAGTGGAGACGAGAGAATAATTCTTTTCAATATGCATTTACAAGAGCTGGTACTCCTTCAATACAGGGTATGGCAAAAGGACACTGGGCTATTTTAATACTACTCAGAAACAAGTAGTAAACCGGTCTTTGATTGAGGAACACACCTCATGCTCCCTATTCACATTTTTCCTCATAAATAATTCTACTGAGGGGGTCACAAGAAACTAGTCATGGAGTAGAGCAAATTATGCAATTAAACAGATCAGGATTTGCTCCGACATCCCAGTGTACCATGTTACTACTACTACTACTACTAACAATAATAACAACTACAAATGTGAAATACAGCATTAAATATTAGATTGACTCATAGATATGTGAATTAACTAATTTTGCAAACACTGTAAAGCTCTGGGTTCAGAAACTGTCCAAGTCAGTGATGTCTCTATACATATGCTACAGCAGGTGTCACATGAACAGCAGCTAACACTGGAACAATAAACTGTAAACATCCACTATGGAAAAAATTTCATAATTCTTTTTAACAGAAGTATAAAAATCAAATGTAGCTGAAAAACAACCATTTAACAGAACATGAATGGCTGCAGGAAAAAAACAAACTAAAGGAAGGTTAATAAAAAAGAGAGATCTTGTTATGAATGCAGCTGCTAAAGGATACTCAGCAAGCTGATTGAGATCTTGCTTTTAAGGCATAGATGCAGACTTGACAGACAGCAGCCACAACAGCCCTTTCAAAGAAAACCATCTCATCAGACAGAAGAGCAGCGGGAGAAAAGGAATTAACTTTATTTGCACAAACCCTTTATACTTTCTAAGTTAAACTTCAGGTGCAGAGAATAAAGTCACACTGAAAGTTTTCATGAAGTTTTCTGAGGCATAACACTGACTTGGGCAGGGGCTGCACTCTTAAATCAGTAGCAGGTACACCTGTGTAAGTTGGCCCACACCATTCTCAGCCTGTATTGATCTATATTCCATGTATTCATCCGTAGCTAACATAATCCTGACCGAGTAGCATCCATAAAATTGAAAACACCCTAGAACTTACAGGAATGTATTCTGGGCAATTTTAAAAGCTGATGAATGCTTTATAAATTCATGTTTATATTTACAGGCAAAGACAATGACTTTCTAGTTCAGTCTCTTCCTTTGTTTACAAGATATCAGGTTTTACTGCAAGAGGAAAATTCAACTGATCCTGAGGTCCTCAAGGAAAGCCTTCAAGATTCCCAGCACTACAAAGTCTTTTACTCTCTTCCCTTATGGTGTCTGACTGCCATAGGATTCACGGTGTCCTACTGTCCAGCACTGTTATCACTCTGGAAGGGTCAAAACCATGAAGACTGAACAAACTGAGACAGAAAATGTTAATAACTCCTCCACTGCTGACGAAGAGAACTCTATGTAGTTGCAAACATCATTTCTTTACTAGAACCATCATGTTCAAAGACATGAACATCAAACAAATGATACTGCCTTAAAAATAAAATTAAATATTATTATATTTCATCTCAACCCACATTAAGCATATAATACGAATATTATTGCTAAACCATACTGAAGGAATAAAACAGCAAACATTAGCGGGTCTTTCTATTGGAAGAAGTTGTGCAACATAAAGAACATGGCTACACATCCAGATACCACAAATGACCGTACACTTGCTGACATAAAAGACTTGATGTCTTCTAACAAGACGACTAAAAGACAGAAATACAGGAAAACTCCATGTAGAGTGAAAGGCATGCAACTATCTACTTTATGGTTTTATAAAGCCAATAAAAACAAATACAGAAAATGACAGGTCAAACCCTCAGCTGCTTTAAAATTATGTAACTCCAATAATCAATACAACTACATACATTTGAAGAGAAAGGTCTAGTTTTTTAATCTGCAAATTCACTCTACTCTGAAAAATTACTCACAACAGACAGTAATAGAGCTTAAAATCACTGATTTCAAAATTAAAACAATGAGAATGAAGAAGCAATAATTTACATAAAGATTAAATTAAGACAGAAGCATAGTGCCTGAGATTGAACAATGTACAGGACATGATAAACTGACAGACTCATAAAGAAATATTACTTAGTAACAAAGGAATGGATTAGATAAGTAAATGGGATGATAATCACATTTAATGATTAATAATATAGCTCTTTCTGAGATAATAAAAAAGTATTATCCAAGCCAGTGATCAGAATGCTTCAGCTTGTACTCAAATTACCTTTGAACTCACTTTATTATAAAATGACTAATTTTCTTCAAATTGTAAGAAATAATTAATCTAGCTGCTGCAAAGACTATACATTTTGAATTATATTCTACCTTTTTGCAGGCTTCAAGTGATTTTTGTCTTCAAATTTTGTTTACATTTTTCTTTGAAATAGGTGAGATTAGTATAAAGTTTCTTCATTCTCAGAATATAAGGATTTGCACTAAATTAACTATTAAGGGAGATGTGCTTCTAAAAGTTAATCTCAAACTGAGCCTCTTGGGAACACTCCTAAGAGCAACATCTATAAACATATGTCAATTAGGATGGTCTTGCAAAATCCAGAACACCTACTTCACACTTCCTCGGGAAAGGGCTTGGATTTAAGTTAGTGGGTCTACTCTCTGGCCCATACACAGGATTATTACTCAGCACAGAGACCAGTTTCCACTTAAATTAATGGGTGTTTTGAGCATTTAAATTCTTACGCTACGGTAACAAGTGTGGTACAAAAATGTAGGCAAGATACCCAGACAAGAGTGTAATTGTTCAAAAGCTCATGCCCTACTGGCAATCACTGAAATGGAGCAAATGGAAATTTTGCAGGAAACGGAAACAAAGAAGTTCTGTTGGCCGTTACTCAACTGCTGTCTCAAATGTCAAGTTAATTATACTTTGTAACCAAAAGACCTGTAATGTGTGAATTCACCACCACCTCAATTAGAGATGCTATCTAAACTTCAGCTGAAAATAAGACTGCTTTAGTGTTTTGCAAAAAGAAATATGAAGACTTATATCCAGAACCATAGGTGATGGCAATTTGAAAGTCAGGTTGAATTTGGGGGGGTTGCAAAATGCAAAAATGTTTGTGAAATGTAAGTTTCTTGATGGGCTCTGCAATTAGAACTGTATGCACAACTTATGGTTTCCTTAGAGCTGCTTGTTCTGTATGAGAAAATGCCCAGACATAGCACCAAACGGGGAGCTAATACTAAATAAAATACAAGAATTACTCAGATAATAATTGGTTATTATCTCCATGGGTCAGCCCAGAAGTCATGTTGGACTACAATTCTATTAACCCTTTTACTTTCACATTCTTTCTACTAAGACCAGCTTCTGTCACATGACAAAGAACCTACACCACACTAAAAATCCTGAATTATTTCTTTGATCACCTTCAATGAAAACACGTACCATTAAAAATCTTCTTTTATATATGACAAATGAGGCAGATAAGCTCAAGTGCTCAGTCTTGCATATACACAGCACATCAGAAATTCAAATATGGGATGTGAGCAAAAATTTTCAAGTGCCACCTTTTCAGCAGCATAAGGGAATGCCAGCTGACTGTTTCCATAACTCCACCTTCTGAGTAATTAATATTCCAAGTCATCTACTTTTCTGACCTTACAGTGGTTTAATCCTCCACTTAATCCAACCCAACTGTCAGTTGTTGTTGACAAGGATGGTTCTGTTGTATCTCTTCTGGAAATATGTTCCCTCTGCTATTCCCGTGTTAGGTACAGCAATCATGTGGCCACAGAGTGTCAGAGCAATGTACTGCTTAACACTCAAAAAGCAACCACTTCAAACCAAGAGATGAGCTTTCTGTTGAATCAGTTTAATCAGTGCCCCACTCAAATCCAAACCATAACCTGTAACTGCAGAATTTCAGGATACAATAATACATGGTGGGAGAAGGGAAAGGAAAATGGAGTATGACCATCTCTCCTGCTGGCAGCTCAGCTCATAGTTAGCAGAATAGAAGCATTAAAACTGCATTAGAAGTGCAATGGAAGAGGTACTAACCAACAATTCACCATCTAGCATGCTGAATTACGAAAATATGCTAAAAATGTAATTGACTGTGAGATGCTGCTATCTTGACGTCTTCGTATTTCAACAAGGCAGACTAGTACTCTGAATGGTAAACCATCAATTATATTTGATTGTCCAAAGATCAGCTAAATTTTTTTTCACATTTTAAAAACACAACCCTTTTTATTTTCACCTCCCCTGTTCCTCATTCTTGTAATTCCTCTGAAATAAATGTATTCTAAACTAGACCTTATTCCTCAAAATTACAGGACATTTTTTAAACTTCACATGGTTACAGGGAACACTAGGAGCCCCAAAGGCAACTGACGGCTCACAAACACATGCATGAGTCGCTACAAGGAGCCTCCAGTTGTACCCGCTGTAATGTCAGCGCAATGCCAATTCGGGCCAAATCCTCTCAGATGATTTTCAACTCTTGCTACAATACGAATTTATCTCAGCATCTTCTTGGAGACAAATCTTTGTCTTTTAAAGCACTACCACTACCTACAGTGAAACACACGAGCAATGAGACAGTAAAGCGAGAGCAGGTTGCAAAGCTAGAGCTTTTCTGTCTATAAAAGGTTAAGTAAGGTTATAAAACAGGAGATTACGCGGAGGCAGCACCTCCTGGCTGCAAGTTTATTTACAATTGTTACTTCTTCCCCCGTCTTACCTTCTGTTTAATATAAGTCGGGCTGCTCTTATTCTGCTCGCAGTGACTGACATTGCTATCGCTCACGAAAGTGGAGTTGTACTCCTGCTCCCACAGCCGCCGGTAGATAAACTGCTGCACCAGCGGGGTCGTCAGGGAAGTCGCAAAAAGGTATATGAAAATGACGGGCTCCACGCACAAAACCTTCCTCATTTCTGGGTGTGGGGTTTAAACCCTGCGTCAGAAAAGAAACCGCAAACCCTGAGAAGGTGAAAGGGAAACACACGTCCGAGCAGCCGCCGGCACGCTGGCACGCCTACCCTTACCCGGACAGCTCCCTCCAGCCAATCCCGGCGCCCGGATGTGCCCCGCTACGGCTGTGCCGCCCGCAGGTGTCCCCGGCCGCCGCCCTCCCCGCCCGCGGCGCGCGGGTGCGTGACAGCGGAGGCGGGACGCGGAGGGGGCATGCGTCCTCGGCGGGGGGAGTGTCCCCGCCGCCGGTGGCGCCCCGGCTTGCGCCGCCGAGAGACGACGCCGCGCCGCATCTCGGCCCGCTGCCGCCACGCCGGCGGCGGGGCGCTGTGGCGGGCGGGCCGGCGCGAGCGGAGGAGCAGCGTCCGTGTGTGAGTGGTGTGACCCCCCGCGCTGTTTGGTGGCCCCGTGCCGGGGACAGGCGGGGTTGCTGCGGCAGATCGGGACACATCAGCAGTTTGGCGATTTCAGCATCGTGCCAAACGCCGCCGCTCAGTGCTCACCGGGCCAGCCGACTTGCTTGGGCTGGTTACACAACGAGAATCTGCCTTATCAGCGGCGCCTTTGGCCTCGTCTAACACCGTGACCCCGGCCTGGAGCTCAGCCTGGCCCAGGGCACCAACGCGCCCAGGGCCAAAGTGGCCGAGCACCGGCTAAGGAAGAACCTGTGTTCTCCTCCGTGCTGCTGCGTGTGCTCCACTCTCAGCTGACTTGGTTTAGAGGTTTTATAGTAGCTGCTTCCATTCCAAGCGCTCTTGGGCTGTCAGGATGTGTAAAAGCAACATTTGTTGGCCACCAGCTGGTCTCCAGTTAATAGAATCATATAATCTTTTAGGTTGGAAAAGAAGTCTAAATACCATCAAACCTAACCATTAACTCCTCACTGCCAGGAAGACATACATCCCATTCTCTTTGAGTCTGACATAGCTGATGCCATGTGTCAGGGGAAGGGCACTGTGGTGTATGTCCCTTTTGGAACAGCTGCCGTGGCACATGCTGCAGCTCTACATGAAAGGTCATGCAGGTGTGCATCTGCAGTTGTGCCGTTTAGATATGGCCTCTAACTCACCCTGGTGTAAGAGAGAGCACACCCTGGCATCTGATACACTATCCTCCTCAGACCTTGGTACACCCACCTGGGGAGTCCCAGAGGACCTCCTTTCAGTCTTAAATACTGTTTTTAAATTACAAATGTTGCAAAAAGTCCTATTTGCTAAAAGCAAGGGCAGTTTAGGAACTTCATGAAAATTCAGTTCCTTGATAAAGTGAAGACAAATTATCTGTAACATGAGTCATATGATCTTGAATAATGCTTTAACTTGTTCACTGCCATGTGACATGTCATTCAGTCCCAATATTGGGGACAACCCTGGCTTGTCACATGTCTCTCAGTATAGGATGAACCCAATGTACAATGTAAATGATCAGTGGCCTTGATCATTTACTTGTGCTTTTTTGGTCAGGCATATAGGCTTGCTCACAGAGACACACAGACAGACTGACTGAAAAAAAGTGCTACTCTGGCCTGCGATCATCTTGTAGATAGTGTTGTCCTTCTCATCGACCTGTCCAGGTCCAAAGTCTGAGTCATCCTGTGACAGTATTTTGTGTATTACAAGGTAAAGCAAAACCAATTATGTGAGGGTTACATGCAAATGGGCTGCTAGGTGAGAGGGGCTGTTCAGGTCACTCATCCAGCTGCTAACATTTATTTGAGCATAGTGAAGAAGGGATTTTTAAACCTGTGGGAACTTTCTATTGTTCCACAGAGGGATATTGGCCAGACCCCCATTATGTTTCTTGCCAGATCCAGCTGTTCTGAAGAGCATGTCACTTACGATCACAAGTGTCTTACAGCCCAGCTTGCTGGCCAGACTTGTTTTAGCTCACAGTTCCTTCAGAACAGCCTTCCCACTGCCAAAGAATGGTGCTCTGGATCTGTGTTCTGTAGATGGCCTCTGCTTCTGTCCTTCCTACTGCCAAGAACTGTGTCTGAGTTTGGGCTTGAGTTTGCAGAGCCAAGTGTCCCCAGCAAAGTTGTGGCCTCACCAGTGCTGAAGGCAAGGCTGCAGTGTGAGCTGGTCACCTTAAAGCACTTGATTATCTTTGTGCAACAGCTTGAAGCCTGCTCATGAGTATCTTCTAGCGCTGATGGGTAACATATGCCCCTCAAGCAGGTGCACTGGAACAGACTTGGCTCTCTTTGGTTCCCAGTCCCCCCTGCAAGGGGAACTAAAAACAGTAGATATGATTGGATTTTTTAGGTCAGACTTGGTTTTGTGATGCTTATCCTTTGAAGCTGAGCATTTCCAAATAACACAATACATGGCAAGCTAACTTCTTCTCTCCCCTGTCGCCAGTATTCACATTGGCCCAAATTTGAGTGAGATGCCCATGAACAGACTTAGCAAGGCACAGGCATGTGGCTGCAGCTCTGCACTGGTTTGTATTTTGTTTATTGACATCCTCACTGTGTGAAGAATTGAAGGAGCACATTGTAGAGGTCATGCTTTTGGGGAGCACTTGCTAAGTTTCCAATAAAAAAATTTTAAAACCCAAACAAATTCCTGATCTTTGGAGGTGTGTGTGTTGCTTGTGTGTCAGGGCATGGAAAAAGGGCGACATGCAGTGAAGTTTCTAAGGGACTTTTGAGAGATCCCACCAGCACTAGTCAAAGACATTACCTTCAGTGATATAAATGTTCAAATAAAGCCTCCTGCACTTCAAGGAATTATGTTCACAAAAATCACTACTACTATAAACATTTTTTTCTAGCAAATTCTTTTGATGCAGATAAAGTTGAAGACATTTTGGAGAAATGCGTTGTTGAAATCTTTTGCTCAAAAAATGAGTAGGACTTTAATAAATAGTATTGCCATGTAAAACGTGATTTTAATTGCCTTCTAACAAGTTCAATATTTTTAAAATTGAGGTGACTTTAATTTTCCACGTTAACAATCTACTGCAAACCTTAGCCCACATATGATTTGTGGATTACAGAGTGACATTAAGAAGTACTGTCTCTACTTACATTCAACTCATGTTTTCAAGGCTATCTTGATAACAATGGTTAACACAAATTAAAAAAAACAAACCAAAAACCAAAAAGGGAAGAGAGAAGGACACTTTTGGCAGAGAGTCAGTTTTATACAAAATGCAGTTCTGCAGAAACCCTTCTCACCCTGTATCATGCCCATGAGCAGGGCAAACAAAGATACATAAAGGAAGTTCTCCAAATATTGCCACTGGGAGAAAGGAGAAGAGAATAATTCTGCAGAGGCATACCTACGTTTAGATGTAACTGTTTTGTTTTCATTGTAACTGTGTTGAGTTCTGAAGCTTGAGTGTAAGCCTTGACAATAGAGAGGAGTAATGAAGATTTAAATATGAGGCTGAAAGAAAACATGACAAAGGAAATTTGTTCAACAAATCCAACCACATGGTTATGAAGCAGCTCTGTTTTTTCCAAAGAGACAGATCATTACTGATTTTCAATGGCATCTCTGACTGCTTAGACAGCTAAAAGCATCTACCCCAGCAAGAGGCCTCTGAGCTGCAGCCCAAGTAGCACAAGAGAGGCTCACACCTTCACCGCTCTCTCTGACTGACCCTATCCACACTGAGTAGCATTTGGTCTGAGTCTCCTCTGGCCCCATGGGGTAGCAGAACATCACAGATAATCAAAAATAATCACATTTTTGTCTTTTTGCATTCCAGAATATCTAAAGTAGTGTGACTGAGTTCATCTGGTGTGGAAGAAGGTGCTTGAAAGGTATGGGCAAAGACATCCCACTGACTTGGCATTGCTGAAAATGGGGTGATGTTCTGAACACCTCTGTCACAGCATGAGCACTAACACTGACTTTAGTCTCTTTGCCATATGGCACTTATTACTCTTCTTAAGTGTTGTGTAGAAAATTTGTGCTTGTTTGAATCCTCAGAAGTGTAAGGCATCGGTATATATTTATTTTCTCTGAATAAGATAATCTTAACAGAACTAATGTTCTTACTGGCCTCTCACACACGCACCACATAACAGCAGCCATTTCCAAATGGTGTGGTTTATTCAGTATTTTTACTTTTCAGTTATTTACCTCTCATGTATTTACAAGTCTTCCGTGCTCATCTCTGACTATTTCATATGTCAGGTTTAGATATCTCCACTGAAAGCCCTTCACCCTTGTGGCTTTTCTGTTTAGGTGACTCAGTGGAGGAGAATTTAGCAGCTCCCTTCATCTTGGGTTCAGGTGCAGCTTGCAGACAGCGTCTTGTGGTTTCATCTAGTCAAAAACAAAGCTGCAAGAAACTATTAGATCTGCCATGACTAACTTTCAGGCTACTTGAGGATTTTAAATTTATTTTATGCAGCTGCTTGGTCCTGTTTGAGGTGGATTTTTTGTTTCGTTCCTGTTTTGCTTTCAATCACATTTATGTACTAGACATATGATAGCCCTTCACTGTAGATAGGTGATGTAAGTTGTGTTTGTCTGACTATATTGCTTAATACAGAATTTCTGATGAGCTGCTTTTACAACTCCAGTTTAGCAACTCAGTCTTACATTGCAAATCTGCTTTTAAAAATAACTAGTGGTATTGGTAATGCTCTCCTGCCTGCTACTCTCTGTCCCCTCTCTTCAGAGCTGTGTGTTGGGTGGGATAATCAGCAGCAGCACGCTGGAGATATTCCTGGTTACCACGAATCAGCAAAGTGCTTGTCTCTTTGGTCTGTATTTCACTTTACTCATTTGCAGAAGTGGACAAAGGCATCCTTCTGCCTAGAAGAATCTTTTAATTTGAAACAGAAGGTTTCTTTCTTTTTTTTTTTTTTTTTAATTTTTATTTATTTAATGTAACCAATTCCTTAGAATGAGGAACTGAAAGTAAGCAACTGAGGCAGGGCTGGAGTTGCTGCAGCTGAGGCAGAGCTAGCGTGTCTGCATCTGAGTCACGTGCTTTTCTATTGCAGGAGGCTGTTACAT